AGAAAGACATGGAGACTTGGAAAAAGCTGCAACTGTCTTTACTTGGAAGAATAGCAGCAGTTAAGATGAATATTTTGCCAAGATTTCTGTTTTTGTTTCAAATGATTCCGGTGCTTAAAAGTGATAAACAACTGAAAGTTTGGCAAACTGGACTTAATAAGTTTGTCTGGAACGAGAAAAAGCCGAGAGTGAAATTGAAAATTATGCAAGATGTTCCAGAAAGAGGAGGCCTTAAACTTCCAAACCTACAGTTATATTATGATGCAGCAGCTTTAACTTTAACAAGTGATTGGTTTGGAAGTAAAAAGGCTGGAATATTGAATGCAGAAAGTTTTGATCTTGAATTTGGATGGCATGCTTACCTATTTTATGATGACAAAGTTGATAAAGTATTTAAAAGTCATATACTTAGAGACTCTTTGATGAGAGTTTGGAAGAAGCACCGACTCAAATGGGATTATAAAATACCGCTATGGCTGGATCTTGGTCATACCTTGTGGAATACAAATATAATGTCACTCGGGGGGTTTTTATACAAAGAGGTTCTTTTTACAGATGCGGGCAGATGGCAGTTGAAGACATTGCAGACACTGTTGGACGAAGGGATTAATTTAACCTGGTTACAATATAATCAATTACAATTGAGATGGAAAGAGGACCAAAAAACTGGTATTATGTTGCATGAGGAAGAATTGATTAGACATATAAGAGAGAAAGGTCCAATGCATATTAAAAGGCTTTACAATGTTTTGCTAGAAAGGGATTCAGAAACGGAATTAGTTAAAGATTGTATGATTAAGTGGGCACAAAATTTTGAAGAACCAGTGATGTTGGAAACATGGGAAAAAATTTGGGTTCAGAATGTTAAATTTACACAGTCGCAGAATTTGAGGGAAAATTTTTATAAAATGTTTTATAGATGGCATCTAGATCCTAAAAAGTTGTCATGTATGTACCCTAATGTTCAGCCAAAATGTTGGAGATGTGAATGTTTGGATGCTACGTATTATCATGTTTGGTGGACCTGTAGGAAAGTTAAGGCTTTTTGGATAAAAATATGGTGGGTCATGCAGAATGTTTTGAAGAAAAAAATTCAATTTTCTCCACAATTGTTTTTATTGGGTATAGTTAAGGGTTTTACACGGGGTGAAATAAAATTAATATTGTATATGATAACAGCAGCAAGATTGTTGATAGGTAAATATTGGAAGAATGAAGCTTTGCCTACTATCGAGGAATGGACTTTGAAGATGGCCAGTTTTGCAGAGATGGCGAAGATTTCAGCATATTTAAAAGATTGTTCACAAGGGACTTATGAATGGGAATGGAAAAGGTGGATAGAATATGTTCAGAACAAATACCAAACTAGAAAGTACCAAATAGCTTTTATTTGAAAACAATGTATTAGAAATATTTTAATGTAAAGAGATAAAGAGGGAAAATTATATAGGGGGAGGGATGGGTTCAGGTATATATATCAGTATTATTAGTTATGAGTATATAATAGGGAAGTCTGGGGGGGAGGGTTAGGGAGGGCTAGGGAGGACGGGAAGTTTGGGGAGGGAGGTGGGGGGGTGAAAAAAAGGGGTGAAAATGTAATTGTAAAACTTTTGCAATAAAAAAAAAACAAAAACAAAACTGGGACTTGCAGATTGAAATTGAATGCTTATGGAAAAAAGAAATCTGTTGTTATACCAATCATGATTGGTGCCCTTGGAGCTATAACTATAGGGCTACTTCAACATTTAGAATAGAATAGAATAGAATAGAATAGAATAGAATAGAATAGAATAGAATAGAATAGAATAGAATAGAATAGAATAGAATGGAATAGAATAGAATAGAATAAAATAGAATAACAGAGTTGGAAGGGGGTTCTTGGTGGTCTTCTAGTCCAACCTCAGGTGCTTTGGAGAATAGCATGACTCTCTCTTCTTTGTGGCAGCCCCTGAGATATTGGAACACTGCTATCATGTCACTCCTAGTCCTTTTTTCATCAGACTAGATATACCCAGTTCCTGCCACAGTTCTTCATATGTTTTAGCCTCCAGTCCCCTAATCATCTTTGTTGCTCTTCTCTGCACTCTTTCTAGAGTCTCAACATCTTTTTTTACATCATGGCGAGCAAAACTGATGTAGTATTCCAAGTGTGGCCTTACCAAGGCATTATAAAGTGGTATTAACATTTCACGTGATCTTGATTCTATCCCTCTGTTTATGCAGCCTAGAACTGTGTTGGCTTTTTTTGGCAGCTGCTGCACACTGCTCATATTTAAATGATTATCCACTAGGATTCCAAGATCCCTCTCACTGTTACTACTATTGAGTGAGGTACCATATATACTGTACCTGTGCATTTTGTTTTTCTTGCCTAAATGTGGATTTGCAAATTCTGAATTGATCAGACCTGAACACCCTAATTTTACAAAGAAATGCCCAGCTTGGAATTTCAGATGCTACCGTAATAATTGTTAGGACCTTGGCTAGGATTTGCATTATTACGTTTTCACCTGCCCTTGACTGAATCTAATAGTTTACTCCAGCAATAATAATAATAATATTAATATTCTTATTAATAATAATATTAATAAGGTGAATAAAACTGCCAAATGCAGTCTCAACCTCTGGCTGGCTGGGCAACAAACCAGGCAGTCCTTAATTTACAATCAGACAGTAAATGACCTCAGAAAGGGTGTTTTATGAGTTGTATATATCTGTGGAGATTCTCAGCTATCCCAAAGGTGCTTTTTCAAAAGGCAACTGGATTTTCTTGAAGATGTTTTGCTTCTCATCCAAGAAGCTTCTTCAGTTCTGAAGAACCGTATAGCACTTCTGGCTGTCATTAAATGTCATGCCCACCATAGTAGCATGACCATATTTTGAAACATGACAACTGGCTTGCATTTATAACCGGTTGTATGCCCCACAGTCATATGACTGCAATTAACTATGTTTTTTGGTTTTCAGCTTTTTTGCCAGTTTCCAACAAAAAAGAAAAACACCCATTTGGGAGAATAGTTTTGATTAATGACCACATGATTTGGCCCACATGATTTACTGAACAGTGGTAAAAGCAGACAAAACATTGGGTCCAGTTATATGGGGTGCCTGAAATGGCAACCACAATGTCTTACTACTGCAATCCCAATTGTGGTCATAAATTGATGATTACCTGTATAATTAATAATAATAATAATAATAATAATAATAATAATAATAATAATAATCCGGGACTTGCAAATTGAAGTTGAGCGACTGTGGAAAAAGAAATTGTGTGTTGTCCCGATTGTCATTGGAGCCCTTGGAGCAATACCCAAAGGGCTACCTCACTATTTAGAAATTCTAAATTTACCGGACTTGAACATTTTGACTCTACAAAAAACCACTTTACTCGGAACAGCTTACATCCTCCGACGATACCTAGGTCCTTGGTTAGGACTTGAGCTGCTGAGTTATTAACCAGCCTCAAAGGCTGTGAATCTCACCAAAGATTAACCAATAATAATAATAATAATAATAATAATAATAATAATAATAACAACAACAACAACAACAACAACAACAACAACAGCAGCAGCAGCAGCAGCAGCACCACCACCACCACCACCATCTGCTGTATATATGTGTCTGATTAACATTCTCTCAGAGAGAGAGAAAATGATGAGTGAGAAAAATGATATTAAAAAGTAAGAGAGAAAAGAATGCTAAAGATGCTGCAATTACTGGAGATATTCCAGGTGGATATTTCCAAGTCAGTCCAGGCAGTGACAGTGAGACTATCTGCTGCTCCTATTATTATCTGCCTTATTTTGAATGAGCGTTTTGCTCCAACTTCCTGAACTGTGGGGTGCTGGCACAGAAATGTTACTTAGATGGATTACTGATCACTCCTGTTTTGGAAGATCCAGTTTTGGTAGGTGAACCTAGATCAACGCCTGATAGTGCTTAACTGCAAGAGGGAAGGAAGCAGCTCATTTAGACTGCATTTAATGTATATTTACTCAGTTGGTATGTCTCAGGTCTATATACCAAGGGATATACACATACAGCCTTAAGTTGAATATTTATACCTTTCTGAATTGCAACTCAGATAATGCATTGAAATATATTCCTATTAGGGAATGGGTGCACAAAAATGCTTTATATTTATTAATTTAATTTATTTATTAATTTAATTTGTATACCGCCCTTCTCCCAAAGGGACTCAGGGTGGTGAACAGCCAAAATTAAAATACATACAATACAAAAGTTAAGATAATTAAATTTGAGGAAATTGTTTTCAAAAAGACACAGACAATGAAAAGTGTATGCAAAACCACACGTATTTATGGAGGAGGAGAGCCCAAACTGCATACAGATGTTCTGGGGATTTTTATTTTTTTTTATAAAAACCTGATGTGGAAATAGAATGGAAAAATGAAAGAAACAAAAATGTCTAACAACAGCCCTGAATGAAATCAAATTTGATAGATTTGCCCAAGACAATTTTGACAGTACATCTCATCAGATAAGCACAAATGTCAACAGATTCACAGGTCTCGAGACCTAACAGATCCTGATAAAATCCCAATTTCAATGTGTCAGTGCTTATCTTTAAAATCCATCATTGGCCCCATCAACTTTGTCTGGTACAGAGGCTCCGATAAAAGACCTATCTTTATATGTCATCATAGAGCGGGGCTGCATTGATTGAAGTTTTCTCTATTTTGGAATTCTTCACGGAAAAAGATTATGTAAATAGAAACACTCAGAATTGATTGAGGTTTTGTTTCTGCTGTGAATGTACATTTTTAGTTGAACAACATTAACAACACATTTTACTGTATTTATCACAATGCGGCAGTTGCATACAGTTGTGGCACCTAGTGCAACTTTACAGATTTCATGCAAACTACATGTGCAGAAAATATAAAATCAGTTTTTCATTAAGAAACATGGTAAATTATGATTACTGGTAGTGTTTTGACCCTTTTTATGGGACAGCCATTATCGATTCTTACCTGAAATGATGAATTTGGATGTATATTTACACGAGCTTGAAACCAATGTTGTCCTTTGTTCCCACTTGTAGACCAGAATGGATTTTCTGATGAAGTCTGACTTTTTAACCGCAAATAAACATTTAATGTGCCTTTAAAAAAAAAAGAGCATAGACACACACATATACATAATTAAAGAAAAATAAAGAAAACAGCAAGAATATCAGGAGGTTGAAACACACTGGAAGATGTGGAACCAAAAAAAAAAAAAAAAAGCGAAATTCAAAAGCCAAAAGAAGTCAGTTTAATGAGGCACTGGAGTATGGATTTCAGCATAATGTAAGCCTCTAGAATATTCTGGCTTTTTGTGCGTTACTTTGCTGGCTGTCTCTCTCTGTGGCAAGCTCTGAGTTTGCCTCATTTCAATGGGTTTGCAATGTCTGGCTTTTCTGTTCCACCGAAGGGAGTCACTGTAATATGGCTTAAGCAAGATGCTCCATTTCACAGAGTATTCTCTGCCTCACCTCCAAGTCCCGTGCTTTACCCCAGAAAATTCTGTTGTTAAATTTAACAACCGTAATAAATTTAGTTTGGTGTAACCTTGTATGAATCACCATCCGCTAGGCTACATGCATAGAATATGATCCTGACAAAGGAGGATTACATATTCTAAGAAGGAGTAGAGTGCTGGATACTACAAATAGCTTTTTGGATGGGGGAAGACAAGGTGATGATTCAAAGTAGGGAAGATATGAGTTCTTTGCACTTTCCTGCATTTCAGTTGTGACATTTAGATAATTTTCTTTGGGAAAAAAAACCCTTTCTCTCTTTTAGAGCGAATAGCATGAGCAGCACTGAATTCTGTAAGGCATATGGAGGGACACATTCCAACATGAGTAGAATTTGGATATATTGGGGGGGGGGTTCAGGAATGTTCAGAGGAGAAACATATGAAATAAAGATTGTAAAAACAATATTGAAGTTCTCTGCCCAGCATTAGTTGCAATTATAAGCAGCCCTCACATTAGGACTGACATTAAGCCCAGAATTATGGTCGTAAATTGTTGCAGGCATAAAGCAGGTTATACGTGACCAGACCCAATTTTATGATAATTTTTGCAGCATTTTTAAAGTGAATGACATGGTCACTAAGTGAATAGCACAGTTATTAAGGGAATCTGTGATACCCCAAGAAGTAAATGGTGGAAACGGGTAAAAAGTATCAAAAATCATGGTCATGTGATCACAGGATGCTATAAATAGCTGTAAAGACAAGACGGTTGCTATGAGCTCAAAGTGTAATCATGTGGTGATGATGATGATGATGATGATGATGATGATGATGATGAGGGTGTGTGCATGAATGCACATGTGAACATTGTAAGTTCAAAATCAGGTCATAAGAAATTTTGTGGGCATTCCATTAAGTGACTGCTCATAAATCATAAAGAGCCTTGCTGGTACAGTGGTCTAAATACCCTTTATTAACACAGCTGCCTGCAATTTACTGCTGGTTCGAATCTCTCCAAGGCTCAAGGTTGACTCAGCCTTCCATCCTTTCTAAGGTAGGTGAAATGAGGACCCTGTTTGTGGGGGCAATAAGCTAACTTTGTATAAATATACAAAAGTATGAAGGCTATTGCTTAACGTATTGTAAGCCGCCCTGAGTCTCCGGAGAAGGGCAGCATATAAATCAAATTAAAAAAATATATATCGAGAACTACTATACAATGCAACTATAAGGGGAAAAAAGCATTATTTCTACTACCCATGATGTAAGTAGCAAAAAGTCTTTAAACATATATTAAATAATAATTCGTTTATTATGTCTATGGGGACATAGTAATAATTAGTTTTATGGGGAAACTTTTTGTTTGCCAGGATTGTATTTAGCTTTCTTCAATATATATTGAAGAAAGAGGCAAAACAATCAGTTAGTAAACCCGAAGGGACTTCACAGTGGCTAGATTCATACAAGATTTAGCCTGGTTGCTAAATTAATCCACTGTCTGGTTTTAGGCTATATTTTCATTGATAGTCAACTGCCTCCTATCAGTAGTGGGTTCTACTTACCTTCGCTACTGGTTCGGAACTGTGAGGGCGCTCACTTGCTTTGCTCGTGCGCAGCACTTCTGTGCATTTGCAGAATCTTTTGCGCATGCACAGAGCATCCATGATGACATCCGGGCGGGTGGGCGGAGCCTCCTGCCGCCGCCACTACTGGTTTGCTCGAACCGGGGCGAACTGGTAGAAACCCACCACTACCTCCTATACTTGTTTTGGGGAGTATGACGTGAGAGATACCTTCAACTTATTAATGATAAGAAATGCAACCAAGGTATTGAAAAAAAAAATAGCATGGGGTGGAAAGCCTTAGTTACAAATGTATATATGATATGAAAGTTCTCAATGACATGAATATATTGGCAGGAAAAATCCAACTCTTTGGTCCTGAACGTTAAAGATCTCCAAAGGCTACATTTCAATGGCTTTCTGCCCACTGATTTTATTTTCAAGACAATCCTCTTGACCATTCATGTTCCCACCCTCAGATTGGTAAAGAAAGGCATCCTTCAACAGAGCCTCTCAATGACTGAATTGCTTCCCTCCCACATTTAAGAGGGCTTGCAGACATTTCCAGAACGCACCATAAAATGTGTTTAGGTGAAATGCATTTTCATATCCGAGATTAAAAAGAGACGGGCTTATTTTTAAAGCCATGTACTTTCTAATACAGCAGGAGGCAAGTGCGAGACAGCAACAGCCTATTTCCCACCACCTTTTCATGTTGTGCTTTTGGTCGTTTGTGATCATCATTTAATTTCCTAGAATGATCACGAATGATGTATGGAGAATTACTCTGCAGTGTTATGGCTTGATGCAGCAACTAGTTTCTGCTATGTTTTTTTTTTTTAATTTCTGTTTGGTTTATTTTTAATTGACCTTTATTCCCTCTAATTGCTTTTAGCAGCAATGTGAGACAATTAATGATATTAAATAACACCCTCCCCCATCTAAAACGAAACAGAATTATGTTGTGGGCAGAATGTGAAAAAATGCAGTCAGCTCAGGAGAAGTTAATTTTCACCATTGATTATATAATTTAAATCTTTTAAATACAGAATAAACTGTACCTTGACATTGTGTTATAATACCATCCCCAAATATCCTGCTGCACACCAGGGATTTTTTTTTAGTTTGCCGTGATCAGCTCTGCCCTGATTTCTTTACAGGGTGTATATTTATTTATGTAAAACATTTATATGACACCAACTCCCTTAATGGGTCTTGGCAGCTGACAAGGTACAGTGAAAACCTCTATTAAAAACAACACTAAAATGTATGAGACATAAAACACAAAAGCTTAAGCGATATTAATGAAAGTTTAGGGAAAGAAAAGTTTCCAGTCTCTACCTACATCATGTGAATAAGACTTTGCCTCAACTCTAGTGTCAATTTATTCCATTTTTCTATTTTAGTGGAGTACTTCTGTTGCGCTAATTTAGGGAAGGTTGACAGAGCCTTGATGGCGCAGCAGACTAAAGTGCTGTTAAGTAGCACCAGCTGCCTGCAATTACAACAAGTTCAAATCTCACCAGGCTCAAGGTTGACTCAGCCTTCCATCCTTTTGAGATAGGTAAAATGAGGACCCGGATTGTGGAGGCAATAAGATGACTTTGTATAAAAAAGAACACCGCTTAGCCCAAAAGCTCTACTAAGCAGGTATATAAAGTATGAAGGCTATTGCTTAATGCATTGTAAGCCACCCTGAATCTCCGGAGAAGGGCGGCATATAAATCGAACCAATAAACAATAATAATAATAAACTCATTTTTTTTAATATATATATAAGATGTGAGTTTGGAAAATGTAATAACAGCAGCAATAGCAGCATAACCAACAGTTGATGTCGTTTGTTTCGTTTTGAAATCAGAAAGAATTTCATCCAATAGTTCCAATATCCACAGAATATGTCCTTCAACCAAACGTATCTATGGGGACATCTGAGGAAAGCATAAAGACTCAACCTGACCATCTGGGCAATTTTGGAGTGAAATGTTCTATTCTCTAAAAATGCATTAAAAGGAACATGCCCATTTAGCAACATTTTTCATTTCCCCTCCGAATGTTCATTTATATGATGGTGGTCCATCAGCCCCAACGATGCCAAGGTCTGAAAGGGATCTTTGAACAAGCTTGAATGAAGAAACACTGAGCTTATAGAAGATGAAAGAGGGGCTCCAACCAAAGCTAAAATGAAATATTTCTGATGGGATATACATTGTTTTTGGTCAAACCTGATGGTGTTCCTGGTCTGATAATACAGATTGCAATTCATTTGCAAAGAATAAAAAAAAATGCCAAATGCCTTGTGATATTTATGATTGTTTGCTGCTGAGAGACACTTGTTTGAGAGTAATGGCCATATAAATTGAATGAACAAATGAATGAACGAATGAATTAATGAATGTATGTTGCATTTGGTGGAAGACTTGCTTGATGGAATGATGTGACATCCTTCAATAATGCCTTAGAAAAAAGGAATGAATAATTTCTTACAGCGGGGTGGGGGTGGGGGTGGTGCACTTTAAAAATTAAGACATCCATATATACCTCTTTTTTCCATTTTTGATGGTTGAAATTGGCATCCTAAACTTTGCAAAATATTACATTTTGCTCTGTAAGCCATTCACTCTTTGGGAAAAACCAATTAATGTTAGGGAGATTGGGTTTTCTAAGATCTCAAAGTTCCCTTAAATTTCCCTAAGACTTACAGCCCTAATTTTCCTTTAAAACCCTCAAACCTTCCCCCAAATAAAGAAATTTGATTTCCGCATTTGGGAAAGGTCTGGAGAAATTTGGGGTAATTAGGAGGATCATTAACCAAGTATTGTAGGCTACAGTGATAATGTGGTACTTCTTATGCTAGAGCTGTTTGGACTTTAGATCACAGAAAAGCATATTATGAGAAGGTATATGTATTGAATTCATATGTATCGCACATCTAGAATCAAAGGCCAATTTTGAAATATTCAGTAGAGACTTGAATTGAATCAGACTCTGATGAAGCAGACCCAATAACAATCTGATTTTTTTTTCCTGAAGTTCATTAGCATTCAGATGAGTTGCTGGGACTCAGACATGCAGACAGTAGTTTGATTGCTATCTTAAGAAAATGAACAAACTCTCTTAACTTTTTTTAAATTTTGCAACAGTGATGAAAGATGATGGTTACTCACCTATGTGTTGGCCATACATGTTGTAATAAAAACTGAAGCAATACGCAGTATTCGTGGTTCCATATGGGTTTTTGGGAGGAATGCTAAAAACTGGGCTAATGAGTCTTGCTCTATCACCTTCTTTTCTAGGACTGGATGCTTCGATGTACATGAAAAATCCTAGAAGGGAAAAAACAATAACATGAAATGGTGATATGCCACATTTAACAAGGAGAAACATCTTTCTCTGGAGCCTGGGGAACAGTGCCCAGACTTCACAATACAAGCACATAAGTAAAATGAAGACTTACTAGTACAGCACTTTTCCCAATACCTATGGAAACCCTCAAACTGGGTCACAAAGCTATTTAGCTCAGGTTTCAAGTACCCTGGAAATATTATGAGTGGTGCACTGGTTAGAGTGCAGTACTGCAGGCTACTTCTGCTGACTGCTGGCTGCCTGCAATTTGGCAGTTTGATTCTCACCAGGCTCAAGGTTGACTTAGCCTTCCATCCTTCCAATGTGGGTAAAATGAGGAGCCAGATTGCTGGGGGCAATATGCTGACTCTGTAAACCACTTAGAGAAGGCTGTAAAGCACTGTAAAGCAGTATATAAGTCTAAATACTATTATGAACTGATGCTGCCTGTAGCAAATTGCTACAGCTGTTTCAAAGGTTGATCTGTAAAGGGCAGATGTTTGTATGACTACTACTATTTATATGGCTAATATTAAATCAATGTAGCTTATATATAACAGAACTTACAAAATATAGAAAAGAATCAGGAAGCTCAGATAGGTACAAATTAAACAGAAGGGAATCTACCATTTTAAATATTTTTTCTTTAATGTTTTATTCATGTATGAAGTTCTTATAGACCACCTTTTCATACCAGAATCAATCCATCACACTCACACAACCCCTGGAAAAGCTGACAATCATTCTTCATTTTTTGTGTGATGTTGCATGTGTTGACCACAGATACTATGTTCCTACATTCTGCCTACTTTGTGGAATAGTCTCCCTTCAGAAGTTAGATCAATAAAATCACTTTATCAATAAATGTTAAAAAGGTAAAGACTCACATTTCTTTCTTAAATTTTGGTCACTATACAAATATAATAAGATACTTTCTTTACCATTAATATGGAAGTATTTCACTATTGCCAATTTCCAAGATTTTTTTTAACTATCCCATCCAAATATTAGCCATACCTGAGCCTGCTTAGTTTTTTTTTTTTTTTTTGAGATCAGCCATAATAGCTTTAGTTTGAAGTTGATGTTATTTTAGTAAATGTCCACATTCTGAAGCATGTAACTATAGTTTCTAAGTTTGAACAGAATGGAAAACTTAGGCTCAGATATACAGGTTTATCTCTGGCTTGTTCTCAAAGAAGACTAAAGAGTCTGATATACGGGCAGAATCAGAAGTAGATTATTGATTGTTGAAAGGCATATCCTATTTTTCATCGCAAAACCCAGCTGAGAGTTACACTCTACCTTCCTTGGAACCTGACCGGTCAGCATTGGGTCCAGTGTTTGGGGTGTATTTTGTGTCTCGAAGGACAATGTTTTGTCTTGTCCAATCAAAGTTGTCCTTTTCATCTTGGGTGAATAAACAAATGTTGCCATCTTCGAAGCCACAGTGGAATTCTCCTGTTAACAGATCAATCACATGTTCATACAAATAATCATTTCAAGTTACCAGTTTAAAAAGGCTTTAAGCTTTCTTCTTCTTTAAAAAACTACTTTGTAATCACAATGTTCCAGTTTAGATTTTATAAACATGGAATTATTTGTTAAGTAGCCCCGCTCCGAGCAATAAAACAGTGATCAAGAAGGTTAAAAATAAATAATCAATAAAACAATAAAAATCTTAAAGCTTCATAACTACTTGTGACAGTAGCAGAAATCCAAGTTAATTCTCTTAAAGTTGAGGCATGAAACTTTTAAAGTTTAAACTTTTAAACTTTAAACTTTAAAGTTGAGGCCTATGAAAATTTAGCTATCACTGAAGTGCTACAATTGGGTTAGAAACATGCTGGATCAGTAGCATCAAGGGAGATAAGAAAGCATTTTAATACAACTAACAGGGAAATGTTTGCTATGAGTCTCTTCATAAATATTGTCAAATTTAGTTTTGGGATGTGGGCCCCAAACTGGGTTAGAATGGGAAAGTTATTGGACAGCTAAAGGAGTCAGCACCCATTGTAGCTTTTCTGAGAAGAGCGGTATTAAATTATCTTTCTATTGAAACGGTAGGAATGATATAATTGGGGAAATATAAAAAGAGTTGTGAGCTTGCCAGAGATTTTGCCTGAATTCAGGAATATTTGCAAAACTTAGCCTTAGCCTCAAGGCAACCTCTGTGTGAGTGCAAATGCATTAATAATAACTTCAAAGAGAGAATGGACAACATGGTCTTTTGGAAATTGTCTTGCAAATTCCACCATTTCTTATCCCTGGCCATTCTGGCTAAAATTGATAGGAATTGGGGATAAACATTTGGAAGGAACACACATTGTCTATCTCTGCTCTTTATCTTTTAACCAACAAGTTTAGACTATGCCTAGATGGATCAGGGGTTCTCGTTATTTCCCATGTTTCCTTTGGATTCATCAAACATATGGAAGGAGACAGTATAGAGCAAGGAAGTCCTTTGTTAACTTTCATGAGCTGTCAGTCATCCTAACTACCTGTGTTTCCCTGAAAATAAAACCAGGGCTGCTTTTCTTTTGGGCCCCAAAATAAGCACTAGGGCTTATTTTCCGGGGATGTCTAATTTTCCCCCTGTACAGGAGGCCCACTTCTTCTGCTTGCCTGTGGCAGGGAAGGAGGCTGTGCGGCATGCCAGTGCTGCCACTGCAAGGTGGGGGGTGGAGCTGCCCCACACACCCCACACCAGCTTACCTCAGGGGCCCTCACATCCTGGCACCTGCCTCATAACTCACAGCCAGGCCACTCACATCCTGAAACCTGCCTAGCCTCGCAGGTGTTGGGATGTGAGTGGCCCTAACCCTAACACACCACTTGGCTTCCTGTTCCATTTTGGCCACAAGCAAGTAGAAGAAGTGGGCCAGCAGCCATATGGGCTGCTAGTGCTGCCACTGCGAGGCAGGTGTCAAGGCATGGATGGCCTGGGTGCAGGGGCCCTGAGGTAAGCCAGAGCGGGGCGTGTGGGGTAGCTCCCTCCCCTCTGCCTCACCTCATGGCCACGGCACAATGAGCAACCAGACAGAATGAGCGGGCAGCTGCTGTGTAGGCTCTTAAGCAGGGCTTATTTTGGGGGTAGGGCTTATATTAGGTACACACGTAAAACATGTTTATTTTCAGGATAGGTCTTATTTTGGGGAAAACAGGGTACATATCTGGTCAATTTTTTGCTTTCAGTCCTAATCTAGTAATGGGCAGCCTTAGTCTCTGAAAATGTATATGTGGCCCCTAGAAATATGTTTGTATCCCAAAAGAACAGACAGATGTTCTTACTTGAGTAAGGGAAGGAGAAATTCTAAAGTGGCAACGTGGATGCCTTATTTGCAGAGACTTAAGGTACAAACTTCAAAAATGCTGCAGAAACCAAATAGGTTTTTCTTATTAGAGAGAATTAATGGGAAAAGCAGATGCTTTAAATACCATTCTTATCATCTAAAACTCTTCTTCTACATGACCATCCCTAAATATTAATAAATTCTATACCATCCATTCGATTGACATAATAACATCATTGTTCATACTCCCTGTTGTTCTAGTAGGCCAAAAATATTAAAAGTGTGGCTTCCAGCTTTCTCTTCCTCCCCAGATGAAAGGAAAAATAAGGATCTGAAGAAGTGTTTGGAGCTTTCATTCATCCCTTGTCTGGGCTTTGTTGTTGTTCTTTCTTTTTTCAATCTCTCCTTTTGTTCCTTTATATCTTTTCAAAATTTATATTGTGGAGTCCCAAGTTTATATTATACAATATACTGATATATTATTCCCCCTTGCACTCTATACAGAGTCTGTATAAATAGTAAGAAAGATCTAAATTTAATTTATATAGCAACAAGATATTTCCAATACTTACGTAAATGTGGATTCATTGGAGCTATAAAAGAAAAAGATAAGATCCTAAAATTAATAAAAAAAATTTGCATACTGATAGATGTTTTGTATCTGATTTTCCTACTATTTGTGCCATTCCATCAGGGTCAGACAACTATTAGGCTTATAAATTCTGATAGAGGAAATATTTGTAGCTCAGCGTTGAAATGAAGGGTCCTTGATATTCTCCGAGCTTGGCTGGGTTTTTTTGCGGATGTTTCATTACTCAAACTAGGTAAAATCATTAATGCTAGTCCAGAGTGGGGTTTGCTCTCATTTTATATTCTAGTGGCTAGAGAACACACTCAGCTAGAGAATACACATGATATCATCAACAACATCTTCAAAGGAACCAAATTCACAAGGGAAGAAGAAAAGAAAAAGATTCTACCCTTCCTGGATATCCTTATCAGCAGAGACTGTGATGGCAAATTAGAAACACAAGTCTACTGAAAAACCACCCACACCAACCAAGTGCTCCCTACCAAAGTAATAACTGAATCTTCCACAAGAGAAGCTGTGTAAGGACATTATTTAGCTGAGCACCAACAAACAGAAGCTACTCTGAATGTCAGAAAACAGATCATCAATCCCAGCTTCATCAAAAAGGGCCTGATTACTCAACACAATATAGCACAACCAACTCAAATTGCAAACTGCCCAAACTGCCCAAGGAGCTGCTGATACAGACCTACAGAGAAATTATTGAGTCTGTCATCTGCATCTCTATAACTGTCTGGTTTGGATCTGCAACCCAACAAGACAGATAGAGACTTCAGAGGATAATTAGAACTGTAGAAAAAAACAATTATTATCAACCTGCCTTCCATTGAGGATCTGTATATTGCAGGAGTCAAAAAGAGGGCTGTGAAAATATTTACAGACCCCTCGCATCCTGGACATAAACTGTTTCAACTCCTACCCTCAAAACAACGCTATAGAGCACTGCACACCAGAACAACTAGACACAAGGACAGTTTTTTTCCCGAACGCCATCACTCCGCTAAACAAATAATTCCCTCAACTAGTTACTAGTCAAACTAATTACTAAGTCTGCACTACTATTAATCTTCTCATCATTCCTATCACCCATCTCCTCCCACTTATGGCTGTATGACTGTAACCTTGTTGCTGGTATCCTTAAGATTTATATTGACTATTTCCCTATGACTACCATTAAGTGTTGTACTTTATGATTCTTGACGAATGTATCTTTTCTTTTAATGTACACATAGAGCATATGCACCAAGACAAATTCCTTGTGTGTCCAATCACACTTGGCCAATAAAGAATTCTATTCTATTCTATTCTATTCTATTCTATTCTATTCTATTCTATTCTATTCTATTCTATTCTATTCTATTCTATTCTAAAAAGGATAACATTGCCATACATCAAAAACATCTCAGAAACTGCTAATAGACTATTACAGCCATATGGCATCAGCACAGTCCACAAACCAACTAAAGCCCTCCAAAACATCCTAAGATTTAGTAGCCTCAAAAGAAAAAAAGAAAAAAACCAGGAGTGAATACAACATATAGTGTAATGACTGTAACAATCGCAATGTAGGACAAACTGGGATAAGACTAGCGGAACACATCCATGAAGATCATCTAGCAGTCAGAAGACACAGTGAAAACTCTTTAATTTCATAACATGTGAACAGACTTAACCATAGTTTCAAACGGTCACTTTTTTAGACCAAACCAAGTCCTACCAACAGTGATAGATTAAGCCATTAGAATATAAAACAAGAACAAACCCCACTCCCAATTAGCACTGATGATGTTACCTAGTTTGGGTAATGAAACTAGAAAAAAACCACCAAACTTGGAGAGTACCATGAATAAATTCTATTTTGTTTTGTAGCTAGTCATCCAGCCATTTAGCCCAGGTGAAAAATAATCCTTTAACAATTCCTAGGATTCCTCAAGGAATGAAACAGAGTGGAAATCACTGTACTTTCCTGCAACAATTCTCTCCGGATTATGCTTAGCTTTCTTTATTCCACCAGAATAATAATTTACATTGGGAGAGTCTTTGGGTTGCAGAGACTGTTAAATAATTAAGAGTTTAAAAAAAAACATACAAATACATTTTCTTTCCAGCTCTTATTTACATTTCAAATTATTATTCCCATATCTTAACAAATGGTATTCTAAATTTTCTAATATTGTGCCTTTTAGATTTTCCTTAAAGCAAAACATGTAAAATTATTTATAGATTTTTTTTTAATTTGTTGTGCTTGGTAAGAGGCAGGAAATATACAATTATAAGGCGTTTAGGATATGTTATAAGGGAAAAAAACAAGAATAATAATGGCATTAGCATAATAGCAAGAATACAGCTCGTCTTTCAATATTATCAAATATTCAAAAGCTATATATTTAATCATTGATGGAAAAAGTTCGGCAGTGGGCAATTTACATAGGAATTTATTTTATTTAATATTTATGTGTGTGTGTGTGTGTGTGTGTGTATGTATATGTATATGTATATGTATATGTATATGTATGTTTTCGTAGATTTTCACGGGTAGAGATATGCAAGTCTTGGCATATTCGGGTCTTTTCCCGTGTAAGATGGAGAGTATCTTGGTGATGTTTCGACGAGGTCCCACTCGTCATCTTCAGGCTGGTGCCTTCGGCTTCGTGCCTATGCGAGCAAAGCGTGATCGGAGCTCTATAAATACTGGTGGGGATGTATACATCAACTACCCAGCCCATTACCCAGGTCGTTACAACACAAAAGACTAATGGGCACACATCAAGGACCCCACCCACACAGGATGTTACAAAACAGCCGACTAATCTGCAAACATCAACTCCATCAACTAATCAAGATGTAACAATACTGGCAACCAACCCGCTCACAGCAACAAAGCCAGCACACCACACCTCCCCACCAGTATTTATAGAGAGTTGGCAGCTCCAATCATGCTTTGCTCACACAGGCATGAAGCCGAAGGCACCAGCCTGAAGATGACGAGTGGGACCTCATCGAAACATTGCCAAGATACTCTCAATCTTACATGGGAAAAGACCTGAATACGCCAAGACTTGCATGTATATGTATGTGTGTGTGTGTGTATGTATGTGTGTATGTATGTATATATACATACACACACACACACACCTCTCCTCTTTCAAGGAACAGAGTAATACAGTATATATAATAATGAACCCATTTTTATCCTAGAAAAGTAGACATCAGAATGACTGATTGAAGGACATCCAGTAAATTACATTTCCATGTTAGAACAAGATGTCACCATGATCCAAACTACAAGCTATATCCCCCAAAGAGAGACATTAGCACATTTGGAAAAATGCCACAATGTTGTAGATAGGGAACAATTGGAGTAAGAACACAGGGATACTGTAGATCAGCAAGAATTCCAAATATCCAGAAGGACTTCAGAATGTTTAGCAGATAGTGAATACAAGTTGGCTGTTACAAGGAACAGAAGAAGAGAAAAAGAAAACCTAGGAGATATATAACAAGGAGACAGTTGATGTATTAAAAACAAACACTATTTTGTTTGAGCTTTTATTTTTTAGTGTTTTAGAAGGGTATTTCTATGATCCTTGGTAGGGGTGAGTGAGGATTTGAACAGAGAACTTTCATTGTCAAGGCCCTCATCTTATTTGATTCTTGTTCATCCAAAGGAAACAAAGAGAATCTATGGAATCTTATCCTACAAGAAATATTTATTGTTTATTTCTTAAATTTATACGACACTCATCTCACTGTTACAACAACTCTGGGCATCTTACAACATAATAAAAAGACAACACAAGCAGGGGTGAAATCCAGCAGGTTCTGACAGGTTCTGGAGAACCGGTAGTGGAAATTTTGAGCAGTTCCGAGAACCGGCAAATACCATCTCTGGCTGGCCCCAGAGTGGGATGTGAATGGAGATTTTGCAGTATCCTTCCCCTGCCACACCCACCAAGCCATTCCCACCATGCCACGCCACGCCACACCCACCAAGCCACGCCCACAGAACCGGTAGTAAAAAAAATGGATTTCACCCAGAGGTGGGTTTCAGGAGGTTCTGACCAGTTCTGGAGAACCGGTAGCGGAAATTTTGAGTACTTCGGAGAACCGGTAGTAAAAATTCTGACTGGTCCCGCCCCCATCTATTCTCTGCCTCCCAAGTCCCAGCTGATCGGGAGGAAATGGGGATTTTGCAGTAACCTTCCCCTGGAGTGGGGTGGGAATAGAGATTTTATAGTATCCTTCCTTTGTCACGCCAACAAGCCATGCCCACCAAGCCATGCCCACAGAACCAGTAGTAAAAAAAATTGAAACCTATCACTGATTTCACCAGTGAACACAAGGCAATTATAAAAAAAGCTGAAATAGTGACTAAAAAGCAAGAGGAGAGGTGATGATGGGTGGGGATCTTCTCTCTACCTCATCAGCCACCCCTAGAATAGTGGCTCCTATCGGGGGCCCAGGCCAACAAGCCGAACCAGGTTTTAAGGCTCTTATGGAAGGCCAGGAGTGTGAGGTTTGATCTTATCCCCATGAAGAGAACATTCCAAAGGGAGGGCCACAGCATAGAAGTCTCTTCCCTTAGACTCTGCCACTGAAATTCTTCAGCAGATGGGATCCAAAATAGGAGCAAGCAGGACCATCCAATCCCAGAATCTAATCTTCTTGCTAGATCCTAATAGCGGGACAGCTTTTTGGTGAGGTAAAACATTGTATACCAGAACGTTGCCTCAGAATTGTTTCCAAAATACATTTCTTGGCAGTTTGAAAGAGTTGGATGACTTGGCTCTGCCAATTCCCATGGGCCTCACAGAGTGGGGCAGAATCCTGGGGGTAGTTAGTGCCTTGAAACACCCCCCTCCCCAATCCCTTCCTTTTGACTCTAATATTTTTGTTTTCACCTGGCTCCTTTAGTTGATGTATTTTTTATGGTTTTTATGTTGTAGTTGTACACCTCACAAAGTCACTCTTAGATGGGATAGGCAGTATCTAAATTTGATA